TGCCCCATTGTGAGTATTTAAGAGTTACAGCAGAGCAGCGGACACACAACTTCATCTCTAAATTTCAAGAGGTGTTTCTTCGTGGAAACTCACATGACCTAACAGTCCAATGGCGATGGGCAGCGAGGTGGTAGGCAAGGAATATGCGGGAAGCTACGAGTTACAGTCCCTCAATGAGGCAGCTCAGGAGAAGGGGCAGAATCACCCAGTGAGCTTATTACGGCTGATGGGTACTCCCATCAAAGACATTAGATTAGGGAAACAAACGTTTAATGACATTAACTATTTCGTTAATACATGGACAAACCATTGACCATCTCAGATTTGCTGACAACATAGTCATGATAAAATTCGATATGAATGAACTGCTGGACATGGTATAAGAACGTCGCAAAGACTTCAAAGGTTGAGCTCAGGGTGATAACTATGACAAAAGCTAAGGTCTTGGACATGTTTCCTAAGCAACCAGCGATAACAATCGAAGAAACATACTGTTAAACAAAGCAGATTGTTTACCTAGGATGGCCCTCAAAGGTGGACAGCTTAAATTAGTGAAATATATAGACGAAAGACAGTGGGTTGGAGTGCTTTTTTAAAAGCTGAACCTGAGTGTGATGAGTAACAAACCAATGTGTCCAAAACATGAAATAATTCAATCGGTGCACTCTACCTGCGATGACATGGATAAAAAAAATGTGGTTTGGCATTGGCTTATAATGATGATAACGGCAATTGCATTGTAAAACAAACACTTGTCATAAAAATATGGGCGAAACATTTGCACTTTGAGAACAATAAAATTATATACTGTTGGAGTTGAATCATGTTTGCCCCATTGTGAGTATTTAAGAGTTCCAGCAGAGCAGCAGACACACAACTTCATCTCTACATTTCAAGAGGTGTTTCTTCGTGGAAACATCGGAAAAGTAGAAAACAAAGTTTTACCTGGAACAAGCATAGTTATTCGTACAAAGGCATTGGAAGATATAGTTTACTCAAGCTAAAATAGGGGTTTTACTTTCGTGATTTTATTAAAGGAGCTGAGAATTTAGGATTTTCTTTCACTGGAAGTGCTCGCATCTGCTATCTGTAATGGAGCAGAAATTTTTCAGATTAAAAGTGATCACTTGCGTCATGTTTGCATTTCTCATTGTCAGATCAAAAGCTCAGGGTAAGTAAATATTACTTCGAATTAATATTTTTTTCTAAATTTCAATATTTCACTCTCATGTGTTTATTTTATGTTACATATATTTACATGTTCTATTTCACAGTGTATTCAATTGAGTAATGAATTCGTTTCATATAATGTGCAGTACATGTTATTTGTATTTATAAATACGAAAACATATTGGACACCTACATTTAAAGGATTTGTTTGTTTTTTGCAAAGACGGTATTTAATTTAAATTGTGCAAGGTAAACGTTTTTCAAGTGTTGGTTTGAAAAAGGAGCAAACTTTGTATTTATTTTATGTACTGTGGTTAAATTTGTTTCAATAGAAGTGTGCCTTCTGTTGATGCTAATTGTAGTTAATTGTTAAATAATACATGCGTGTGTTTAATGCATGTTTAAATGATAATTGTCCTGATAGATTTATTGCTGCAAAAGAGAGAAGAAAAATCTATATGCACTTTGGTTAAAAAAAAAAATATATGCATCTAAATGTAAAAAAATATATTCTTTTAGGGTCGGTGACCACAACAGGCTTGGACGGAATAACAAGGACACCAGGAATAATAGAGCCAGAAGCAACAACAGGGTCACAAGCAACAACAGAGCCAGAAACAACAACAGGGTCACAAGCAACAACAGGCGCACCAGAAACAACTGATCCACTAGCAATAACAGGCACACAAACAAAAACAGAGACACCAAGAACAACAGACACGCCAGGAACAACAGAGACACAAGGAACAACAGGGACACCAGGTATAACAGTAACACCAGGAACAACAGGGACACCAGGAACAACAGGGACACCAGGAACAACAGGGACACCGGGAACAACAGTGACACCAGGAACAACAGGGACACCGGGAACAACAGGGACACCGGGAACAACAGGGACACCGGGAACAACAGGGACACTGGGAACAACAGGGACACTGGGAATAATAGGGACACCAGGGACAACAGTGACACCAGGTACAACAGTGGCACCAGGAACAACAGAGACACCAGGTACAACAGTGACACCAGGAACAACAGGGACACCAGGTACAACAGTGGCACCAGGAACATCTGGGACACCAGGAATAACAGTGACACCAGGTACAACAGTGACACCAGGTACAACAGTAACACCAGGAACAACAGAGACACCAGGTACAACAGGGACACAAGGAACATCAGGGTCACCAGGAATAACAGTGACACCAGGTACAACAGGGACACCAGGTACAACAGGGACACAAGGAACATCAGGGTCACCAGGAATAACAGTGACACCAGGTACAACAGGGACACCAGGTACAACAGGGACACAAGGAACAACAGGGACACCAGGTACAACAGTGACACCAGGAACAACAGGGTTACCAGGAATAACAGTGACACCAGGTACAACAGTGACACCAGGAACAACAGAGACACCAGGTACAACAGTGACACCAGGAACAACAGGGTCACCAGGAATAACAGTGACACCAGGAACAACAGGGACACCAGGTACAACAGTGACACCAGGAACAACAGTGACACCAGGAACAACAGTGACACCAGGTACAACAGTGACACCGGGAACAACAGGGACACCGGGAACAACAGGGACACCGGGAACAACAGGGACACTGGGAACAACAGTGACACCAGGAACAACAGTGACACCAGGTACAACAGAGACACCAGGTACAACAGTGACACCAGGAACAACAGTGACACCGGGAACAACAGTGACACCAGGAACAACAGCGACACCAGGAACAACAGTGACACCAGTAACAACAGGGACAACAGTGACACCAGGAACAACAGGGGCACCGGAAACAACAGTGACACCGGGAACAACAGTGACACCAGGAACAACAGGGACAACAGTGACACCAGGAACAACAGGGACACCGGGAACAACAGGGACACCGGGAACAACAGCGACACCAGGAACAACAGAGACACCGGGAACAACAGGGACACCGGGAACAACAGGGACACCAGGTACAACAGTGACACCAGGAACAACAGTGACACCAGGAACAACAGGGACACCGGGAACAACAGGGACACCGGGAACAACAGGGACACCGGGAACACCAGTGACACCGGGAACAGTGACACCAGGAGTAACAGGGACACCAGGAACAACAGTGACACCAGGAACAACAGTGACACCAGGAACAACAGGGACACCGGGAACAGTGACACCAGGAACAACAGGGACACCAGGTACAACAGTGACACCAGGAACAACAGTGACACCAGGTACAACAGTGACACCAGGTACAACAGTGACACCAGGAACAACAGGGACACCAGGAACAACAGTGACACCAGGTACAACAGTGACACCAGGTACAACAGTGACACCAGGAACAACAGGGACACCAGGAACAACAGTGACACCAGGTACAACAGTGACACCAGGAACAACAGGGACACCAGGAACAACAGGGACACCAGGAACAACAGGGACACCATCAACAACAATGACACCAGGAACAACAGTGACACCAGGAACAACAGGGACACCAGGAACAACAGTGACACCAGCAACAACAGGGACACCATCAACAACAGGGACACCAGGAACAACAGTGACACCGGAAACAACAGTGACACCAGGAAAAACAGGGTCACTAGGAACAACAAGCACACCAGGAACAACAGGGACACCAGAAACAACAGTGACACCAGGAACAATAGGGTCACCAGGAACAACAGTGACACCGGGAACAACAGGGACGCCAGGAACAACAGGGACGCCAGGAACAACAAGCACACCAGGAACAACAGGGCCACCTATAAAAGAGTAAGAATTAATTTCAATATGGCTCAAAATTAGCTACGATCTTATTTATTAGAAAGTTTAAAGTTCAGTCATTCATTGTGATATCTAATGTTCACATTGATGCCTTATTAATATTGTGCATTTTTGTGATTCATTTTACAACTCAATAAATGGATCAGATTTAATAATATGCATTTTTCACGTTGTTAGTGTTTATATTTATCCTGCATCATATCTCTCGTGTATGATTATAATCACTGTATATGTGTATGTATTTATTGAAACATGTATATATTATGTTAATGCTATACGCAGAATGCTTGAATATATAAGTTGCATGTATATGTTTATGTCCATTTGTAAACATAGAGTTTGACTTTTGAGAAAATAACATGAAAAATGGATCAATCATTAAAGCATTAATGTGTGACTAAATTCATCATCATCATCACGATCCATGGGCAGATAGCCCATCGGTGTCCAGGGCACATTTCGTCATTTGTTTCCACTTTCCTGTCTTGTGCCAATATGCTTAAGTTGTGCCGCATCTTTCTGGCACAAACCTCTTATGTGGTCAAGCCATTTTCTGTTACGTCTTCTTCCTTTTCTGGTTCCTTCGATTTTTCCGAAAAACACACTTTAAATTTTCTTTGGTTCTTTTGGTAAAGTCACGTAGAATGAGAATAAAATAATAAAATAAATAAGGCAATAAATACAATAGACAATAAATACAATATTTTATTTTATTATTTTATTCTCATTCTACGTGACTTTACCGAAAGAACCAAAGAAGATGAATCCTTGCAGTCACGAAAGCTTTAAATCAACACTTTAAATTTATTTATTGTTCTACATATATGTAGGACGGCAGCTAAAGCAAATTTTATTAAAGTATTGAGACAGTTCAATTTTAATTTGAAGCTTTCGTGACTGCAGGAATCCATACTCTTTGGTTCTTTCGGTAAAGTCACGTAGGTATAAAATAAAATAAATCACGACGTTTCGGGCGCAACACAATCGGGCGCAACACAAGCACCCGAAACGTGATTTTTTTAATTTCATACCTATGTGACTTTACTGAAAGAACCAAAGAGTATTGAGATAGTTATCATTTCAACTCAATCTTTCATCACTCTAATAACTTTTAATTTCAGCTGCCCGGACGAAGACAAATACTACTGGTACAGCAGCAACTGTTCAAAGATCTCCAAGATAGCTGTGATCGTAGGGATCACTGTACCGCTTGCAGTCCTCCTCATTGTCGGTGTGATCCTACTGGTATGGCGCAAATACAGGAGAACACCGGTGTATGACAGGTGAGCACATCGTGTACTACATTCCTATTTCGCAGACTTAACTCTCCATCGAACGTGGGCAAAGATTTGAGTTAAAAGGTGGTAGGTAGCATGGGTAATGGAGTGAACATTGCCCATTTGGTGGCAATAAAGGGGCACTGGGGAGGTAATTACAAACAATTGCTTTGGTTGGTGTCGACCTACTGTCGTTGTCGGAGCCCTCTCCTAGATTAACATAAGCGGCCCCGCCCATCTCTGAACCTTTATGTACAGCTCTTTGATTGGTGTAGACCGACTGCCGGTGTCGGAGCCCTCTCCTACATTAACATTAGCTGCCCCGCCCATCTCTAAACCTTTATATGCAGCTATGCTTTGATTTAAAGCTTTAGTGACTGCAGCGATTCATATTCTTGATTCTTTCGGTAAAGTCACGTAGAAGGGAAACAATAAAATAATAAAAATATAAAACAATAAAATTCTCACGACGTTTCGACTGCAACACAAGCAATCATCATCAGGTGTGGAAACCACAGCAAGAAAATTTGAAAAAAGTGGCGTCTACAAATTAAGTTGCCTCTGTGGTAGTAGTTACATTGGAGAAACCAAACAACATGTCTCGGACCGCATTCGTGAACACAAAGCAGACCTAAAACATGGTAGGACCAACACCTCGGCCGTGGCAGATCAATGTTATAATTCAGTAGGCTCACATGACATTGAATTCTCCAAGACAGAGGTTCTTTGCAAGCCATCTGGCTACCATGAGAGATTCGTTCATGAGGCTATCCACATATACAAACACAGAGACAATTTCAACCGAGAAGATGGATTCTGGCTTAGCAATCATTGGAAGGATTTGATAAACCATTTCGGGTCTTAATTGAATGTTCACGCTTACGGTGGATTTCAGACCGCATCCATTATTTTGGTCTCCCCCCTCCTCTTTTCCGACATAGATGGACTCGTCCATCTGAATAACTGCCAAATCGCTCTCCGTGGTGCTAGCGTTAAAAAAAAGAAACGCCACTTTTTTTCAAATTTTCTTGCTGTGGTTTTCACACCTGATGATGATTGCTTGTGTTGCAGTCGAAACGTCGTGAGAATTTGATTGTTTTATATTTTAATTATTTTATTGTTTCCCTTCTACGTGACTTTACCAAATGAACCAAGAATATAAACAGCTCTTTGATTACTCATTGGTTTTTTCGGTAAAGTCACGTATGTAGAAATACCATAAAATTATATTAAAATTAATCAATCACGACGTTTCGACCGCAACACAAGCGATCTTCATCAGGTGTAAAAAACAAATAGTGAGGGAGCATATAGGGCGACACCAACACAACACAAAGAGAGCGCCAAACTGCACGGAGGTAAATACAATTCTGTCTTAAACATAGTGCACCCCTTGCTTTCTCCTACCCCGCCCCTCTGCTGCCATGCCCCCTTGCTCTCTTCGGCCCCTCCCCCCCACCTCTACTTCTTATTTAAGGCCTCTGTCTGTTCATCCCTCTGGCCCTTTTTCTTTTTCCTTGCTTCTCTGTCCGTCTTTCCTCTCCTTGCCTCTTGGTGTCCCTGTATATGTATTTCTGCTGACTTGTACCTCGTATTTGTTCACTCTGTCTATGCTGGTATGTTCAATCCAGAGGATGAACACGAAATTGAGCACTCTTCTGAAATTCGTGGTCCACCAGGCAAGTGTCTAACTGTGTTGTTGGCCTGACTGGTTTTGCATCACGTAATTTTTTCTTAGGTTTGTTGAATTCTCGTCTCTCATCTTCTTGTTGTATTTACCTCCGTGCAGTTTGGCGCTCTCTTTGTGTTGTGTTGGTGTCGCCCTATATGCTCCCTCGCTGTTTGTTTTTTACACCTGATGAAGATCGCTTGTGTTGCGGTCGAAACGTCGTGATAGATTTATTTTAATATAATTTTATGGTATTTCTACATACGTGACTTTACCGAAAAAAAAACAATGAGTTATTTATGCAGTCACGAAAGCTTTAATTCTTTATTAGCTCTTTGATTGGTGTAGACCTACTGCCGGTGTCAGAGCCTTCTCCCACATTAACATTAGCTGCCCCGCCCATCTCTAAACCTTTATAAACAGCTCTCTGATTGGTGTAGACTTACTGCCGGTGTCGGGGCCCTCTCCTACATTAACTGCCCCGCCCATCTCTAAACCTTTATAAACAGCTTTATTTGCAAATATAGTGCTGATGACGACCGCTTGTGTTGAGATCGAAGCGTCGTGATATTTTTATGATTTTTTATTCACCTTATTTTAATTTTCATTATTTTATTGTTATAATTTTTTCTGTCTATGTGACTTTACCGAAAGAACCATAGAATATTAATTTCTGCAGTCACGAAAGTTATAAGTCCAAATTTAAAACAATTTAAATATAGATACTCCAACCCAATGGATGATTCACCACTAGCAGGGAATGTTGTAAAAATAATAATGCATTGACTTGGCTGAGAGCACACCAGTGTTTAATTCATGATTATAAATATCCAGGTTGCATTGTAGCATTGCAGTTACACTTTTGACTTGGTACTGAACTTGTAGGAAAATATATGGCAGTGATGTGTTCACTTTAACTCATGGGCAAAATCAGGAGTGGTTCGTCCACTGATTTTTCTCAAAATTATTTTGTTGTGTTTAAAAAATATATATATAGTTATTCTTTCCATGTGAATTCCCTAACGAAGATAACATTTTAAGTTGTTTATATTAGAAAGCACTGCAACGCAGTCTGATTTGTGCCTTGGGGAGGTCTCGGGGCGAATGTGAAAGCGTCCGAGTTTGAGAAATCCCTTCATTCATTGCGATTTGCTTCGCATTTTAGCCACGCCGTTTGAGACCCATTCACGGTGGTGAAAAAGGCGCCCATGGCACTAATGACTTCGTCACAACGCGAGGTTGCACTGTGCAAAATACATCAAGCCACGGCCTACACGCTCTAGGCTTTTGGCAAGGTCAAAGTGGTTGTGTAGTGTGGACTTGAGGGTCATGAGGAGTGCTTTTGAGTGCTTTGTTTCGTATTGTTTATTAATGGATATCGTTGGTAGATAAGACAGTTAGGTATATGACTTTCACGGGAAGGCCAATAACATGACGAGGTTCTTCTTAGAACGCCATATTTTTAGAGGTCACTCACAACAGCCCCGCTTAGTGGAAATTTCACTAGCTGCCCATGGGTATAATGTAAATAGAAAGAATTAGCTTTTTGTGTTGAAGCTTAAATCTTCATTAAATTGCAGCTTCAGTGCATTCATATAACTTTTAATGGTTGTGATTAAAATAACTTACATTCATTTATACTTTTTTTGGTTTGCAAATATAGTGCTGTATAGTATTTCAATTTGTGCAACATACCTTCAAATTAAAACAGTACTTGACGACAGAAAAAGCATAAGGCATTCAGACACTAATGCCATTTAAAAATGCAATTCGCCACAATACACAAATCACGACTTGTATTTGTTTGCAATTAATACAGATATGTGCTTCGGGGTATGGGAGATGTCAGCATTAAATTAACATTTTCATTTGCACATTTTCATGTAACAAAGACAATGTTTTTATTTTACGTTTCCAGTTATTTTGTGAACAAAGACGGCACATATGAAGACACTGTTGAAATTTTGAATGTGAAAAAAATCGGTAAGTGACCAATTGATATGTCTTCATAAATAGTGACGTGCATGGTTGGCTATGTACGGTGTAAAATAAATTAAACATACAATGGAATCCTGTATATGTATTGTTTATATTGTCATTCCTAACTATACACTTGAATAAAGTCTCCATGTGAATACTATTGGGATAGAACAATGAGACCACATATGCATATAATGTGCAGCTTAAACATTTTAAATATGCTGTTTTTTTTACAGATTTTGACAAAGTTGATACCACTACATCAGTAAGTATGAGTTTAATTGTTTATTCTGTAATAATAATTGCATTAAATTTTGATTTAAAGCTTTCGTGACTTCAGTAATTCATATTCTTAGTTCTTTCGGTAAAGTCACGTTGAAGGGAAACAACAAAATAATAAAATATATAAAACAATAAAAATTCTCACGACGTTTCGACCATAACACAAACGGTCGTCTTCAGGTGTGTTGGTTGACCTGAAGACGACCGTTTGTGTTATGGTCGAAACGTCGTGAGAATTGTTATTGTTTTATATATATTATTATTTTGTTGTTTCCCTTCAACGTGACTTTACCGAAAGAACTAAGTATATATAATAATTGCATTGTAGAATAATCACATATTGTATATATAATAGTACAAAGTATGTTATAATGTAAACTGGTCAACATAATTAAACATGTTTTAAAGTTGCACAAGCATTGGAGTACCAAGTCACGTAATGTTATTTTCATACAGCGTGAGTCTTACAAATTGCATCTTAAAACGTTGTACCGGAGAGGTGCGGGAAGCCACAGACAAAGCCGCAAGGCCAAGAGGGGCTGTGCACGATCCCAGTTCATTAACTTGTGGGTAATTTTCGAAATTGGAAACTTCGGGCCATGTTTCCAGCACACAATGGTCTGCTTATGTAAAAAAGAATCGCTCACCCTGAAGAAAACGGCGTTTATATTTACGGTAGATACGGCTGCAACAATAACCGAGGCAGGCCGCTGTATTGGAACATTGAACCTCTGCAACAAGCGTGCGGACGTGTTACGGCTAGGCAATGTCACTGCCTCACACTAAATGCTATATTTAAGTAGTTTTTTTTTTGACCACAACACAGCCTCATGTGAAATATAAACATTTTTCATGAGCATGAATTCTAACTTTTGAATGTTATGTTTCATTTTCAGGTGAAAATTAGAAGGCCTGAGCTTGTATAAGGGATGACGAACCACCACTAAATGCACATCTATGATATTCCGTGTCCATGTGAATATATTGTACACCTTCAATAATCTTACGAACAAACTCGAGTTGCTTGATATTAAATAATAAGTTAGATGTGTGGAAATGATTTTTTTTTACGTGGATGTTTTGGAGGTCAGACCAACGATCTGGCTCTGCTGCAATTGTGGATTCAAATCCAGGGATCTGTCTGTGATTAAAATGGGTTGTGAGATTGTGGACGAAGCCCAGTAACCAATGACTGCATTGATATCGATCACGTGATATTTTATGCTGCATTTAATTTTGGCTCAATTGCATATCTGAGAAGAAATATATATACCCGTGTGTCTAAATTTTTTATAAATATGCAAGAATAATTATCTGTACTCGTCGGAGCAGAGATCACTGGAAGAGATCTCAGCATTCTGTAAAATCCGTCATATTCTGTCACAGTGGATCACACTGCTCTGTCAAAGATCTGAATGGATTCTTCATCTCATGACAAGACACAATAACACAATTGTAATACAATTGTGTTATTGGTGTCAAACCCCTATAACCCCTATAAAACCCCTATAAAATAATGAATAGCTTCATGTTATATAATTGTACTATGCGGCTGTGTTATATACATTTATTATATATTTAAAAATTTACAATACAATGCATGTTACATTTATTTATTAAAACAAATAATGTTTTTATATAATTGTTTTCTAAGTTAACTAGGTATATTTTGCTAAATTAAAATTATGAAACTAATTATATAAAATTTGGGTATTATATACAGATACAACAAAGGCTAATGGATTCAGTTGACGTCAAAACATGAGCTTTAAATGCAATTAACTCCTATTTATGGCATGTTGCTATAAGTTGATATTTGGTGATAATAAGTGTTTGATTAATGCTGTCACATCCACATAAATATAGACCACTTACTATATTCATTATAGCTGTATGCAGCAAATATGTATTTGCACAAAATGTATTTCTGTTATAATGCAGAATAAAGATGTATTTTAAAGGAAACAGCAGTCGATGTGTTGGAATTAACCATTTTACATAAATAACCTTGTGGAATTTTTAAATTTGATTTGAAACTGATAATTCCCACAATTTGCAATTGGCTTCTTGTATACTGTATATACATTCTAGTCTTGCACGGCAACGCATAGTTTGTGTACGGTATTGCTTTTTTGCGTTGAATGGGATCCCACAGTTCAAATGGAGAGCTGTTACCATAATGTATGGTTATGTTCTTGCGTATGATAATACATACAGGAGCTAAACGCCAATCTCTGATAGCCATGAGAGGGCTTCAGTCAGGAGAGTTCGCGTAGTTTTATTGTTCCTCCTTCACTGAAGTAGTGCAGACTACAGTGGTTTACTATGCGGTCCATCGTTTTGGTTGTAAGGCCATAATTGCACCACTGTGGCTTGTGTCTTTAATTTTCCATTTACGAAGGAGATGTGCGCATCTGCCTGTTGATGTTACGATACGGTTGATGGTTACACCAGTGTCGATGAATGTCAAAGACACTGGTACACTATCAACTCTTCATACGAAATTAGCCTACAGAGCATTGACATTTATTGCATGACATTTATCGGTCTGTATATGTATAATCACTCGGTAGATTGTGTTATTTGTATTATTTAAAGACGCAAACATTATTTAAGAATACATTAGTAATAAAGATATATTGAAATGCAATACATTGTGTGTGATTAGCCGCACTGCTTTTTATTTGAACCTGACCAACTCAGTTCTTCCTAATACTACAGCTTAATTTACTCATATCGCATCTACAATATTGTCTAGGCCAATACATATGCTTCCTACCTACATAAATTACACATCACAGAAAATCAATTTGGAAGAACTTGGCTCCATCTGCCCCAATATTTAAGAAACTCAATATCATGTCCATCTACAACATTAATATACTCCAAATATGCACCTTTATCTATAAATACACGTACCTCGGTGACATACCGAAACTCTTGGAAATATTCTGGAAGTATTATTCCAGGTTAATTTCCAAATCCATGCGTACAACATAAGACACTCTGACAACCTTCACCCTGCCTACTGTCGCACCACACACACAGTCAATTCTCTATCAGATACAGAGGTTCCGTACTCTGGAATTCCTATCTTCACAATGCCAAAATACCATCATCCCTCAATAACTCTAAGCATAGACTACGGGTAGCCTGATGAGCCAGACTACCCAATAGTCTCCTCCATGTAGCTGAACAATAACAACAACCGCCATTCGCCACTAAGTGGCAGTGACGCCACCACCACGCTTGTGCCAGGCCATGTGCACCTTGAGGCCACGTGAAGTGTCGAACACCCGCTGGCAGGAGGTCACGGGGCAGACCCAAGTGCCACGGGTCGACTGACTGAGATGACTGGCTGATGCACTACCTGTGCCCCCTACTGTGCCAACTTGCTGTGCTTTAGCCACCCGGCACTCCGCTCACTGTTATGAGCGTCGCTCCTCCGCCCTCTGTTGTTGTTGGAGGGCGACTGCCTCCAACTGCCCAGTAGCGTTCTTCACGAGCCTCCTCCACAGAGGCCGATCTTGACACCGCTGGTACTAGTCACCGACAAGTCCACTCAGCTCCACATCGTCCTGTACCACATCACTCCATCTCTTCTCTAGCCCGTGCCATGCCCATTTAGCCCCCTTGATTCGGCCAGACAAAAGCTGTTTAGGCATGCGGTGGCTGGGAATGTGGGCTACATGACCCAGCCAACGCAGCCTTGCCTGCCGGAGGAGCTCACCAATGGGACCTTGTCCGGATCTTTCAAAGATTTGTGAACTCCTCACACAATCCATCCTGGTTAAACCCAGGATGGTTCGTAGGCAGGCCAGCCTAAATGTTTCTAACCGGCTAAGATGTTATATTAGGGGGGTCCACGTTTCACAAGCGTAGAGAAGGGAGGGAATGACTGTGGCCGAGAAGACCTGAAGCTTCGTGCGGGGCGACAGACCAGGTAGCTTCCATACAGCGTTACGCAAGATAATGCCGCTCGACTCATTCGGAGTGAGACCTCTGCTGTCAAACCAGAGCCGGTCATGAGCACACTGCCCAGGTATGGGAAACTCTCCAATCTCTCCACAACTGCCCTATCACCAATTGGGAGTTGTGGGGGTGGAGTGTCCGATGGTACAAAATACCCAGGCAGGTGCTTAGTTTTGGTGGGGCTGATGGTAAGGCCCCACCTCTTAGTGGCAAGCTCCATGTTCAGCAGCAGTACCTCCAACTCTGCCTCTGAGTGAGCAATTACCAGATCATCGGCATACATACCATGGTTGAGCAATACGGATCCATCCTTTGACCGCACCCGGGCATCGATCAGCCTCCCATTATATCTGTACCATATGGAGATTCCCCCGGTGCAGCTATTGAAGGCTTCACGAACTACGTGGTCGACATATATGTTCAATAATGTGGGAGCCAAAGGACATCCCTGTCGCACCCCTAGGTGAACAGGGAATGGCTGCGACTCCCAGCCATATAGTTTTCCCTGGGCCCGCTCACCATCATGAAGGTCATTAATGATCGTGAGCAGAGGGTCAGGGACTCTGAAAGCATTAAGAACAGCCCATAACCCAGGCCTACTGATGGTATCATAGGCCTTGACCAGGTCAATAAAGCAGAGATTTAGGTCTTGTTGGAGGTCTCCCCAGCCATGTTGGTCAAGAAGGTTGCTTGACCATACTTCACCAGACTGAATGGTGTCGGTTGGTAAAGGGGCAGGATATCCAGGACTAGTTCAGACACCACTCATATTAGCCGTGGCCTGAAATCATTCAGGTAGATAGGATCAAAGTGCAGTGTACTAATCACTTTGTTGCAGCCGTAAAGATGTAATCTTTATTAGTTAAGCATTCTTAAATGTTTTGTCTTAGGACAGGGAACATATGTTGCATGCGTATCGAAATACAGTACACCAATGTCTTGTAATAATATATTAATGTTTAAATTATGTTCTGGGTAAGTTAACGTCACATATATGTATATATGTAGTGGATTAACACGCGCATACAGGGGGGAATGGTAAAGACGCGCGAGTTATGGACAGCGGGGTTACGTCGGGCCGGCCAGGTGTGGCGGCGGTAAACTGTGCGGTAATGAGGGGCCAATTAAGCCAGGGAGCGATGCACGGCTGTGATTGGCTGGATTTGTTGTCAAGGGCGGAGTGGTGCCAGGATGTCTGGGAATAGAGGGGGGCAGGTAACAGGTGCGGGGGTGGGGGGACGCGGGGCGTCGGTGGCACGCGGACTAATTAATTGGTTGGTAATGAGAACGGGGATATATTCGGGAGACAGGAAGAACGAGTGGAGTTGTCGCTGGGATTGGAACGATGGAGGTGTGGGAAAAACGGGGAGAAGACATAGGAGACAGAACAGCTAGCAGTGGAGCAGAGACAAGCAGAGACAAGCAGAGACAAGGAGCGACTGAGAGTGATAGAGAGAAGCAGAGACAGAGTGAGACCAAGAGAGACAGAGAGAGACATAGATACAGAGAGGGTACGGAGAGAGACAGGGAGCGATAAGCAGAGTGAGACACAGAGAGACACAGAAAGACATAGATACGGAGAGGGTACAGATAGAGACAGGGAGAGATAACCAGAGTGAGTCGTAGGAAGACAGAGAGTACAGGGAGAGATAGATGAAGTGAGACAGAGTGAGACACGGAGAGAGACAGATGCAGAGTGGGAGAGAGACAGAGACAGCGAGTGACGGAGAGAAACAGGGACAGCGAGTGACGGAGAGAGACAGGGACAGCGAGTGATGGAGAGAGACAGGGACAGCGAGTGACGGAGAGAGACAGGGACAGCGAGTGACGGAGAGAGGGACAGCGAGCGACGGAGAGAGAGAGACGGCGAGCGACGGAGAGAGAGACAGAGACAGCGAGTGACGGAGAGAGACAGAGACAGCGAGTGACGGAGAGAGACAGTGGGAGGCAGGGGAGGAAGCGGAGCGAGCGAGACGGGTGGAACGCGGCGAGCGAGCTGCGGCAAACAGAGGAACTGTGAAGTTAGAGACGTAATGTGGAGAGTTGTAATAAAAGTGGTGTCGGAGAAAATAATAAAGTTGTCCGCGTGAAGTCGACTACTACATATACATGAACCAAAGTGCAATTTCTGATCATTATAGCCAGCAGCGAATGGAAATTTACCGCTGAAGGTGCTCAGCTCACAATATTCATCATGTTGAGTGCCATTTATTTTAAAAAATGCAACTTTATTTTACATAAAGGACATGCATTCAGTACTTTATACATTTTGGTACAAGCAAATGACATGAAACGCAGTATGCAGTCTATATTCTGTAAAACTAATTCTGAGAAGTACCAAATGTCAATTTATAAGAAATTACTTGTTTTAGACTTATGACCTCCATTTGAATTAAGTGCGCGTTAATGTTTATATATGCTGTGCTAATTTCATGTGAGCATATTTAAAAATACGCTTGCATGAAACTTGCACTCAGAAAATATTTAATTGAAAAAGGAATTGTACTATGCTTAACCTAACTGTATTTGATTAGGTACTATATTATTTGGATTAAAAAAATATATAAATAGATTTTTATATAGTATTAATATAGTGCATTTTTTTCACTCAAAGCTGCTAATTATTTTTTTCCCCCAACAATGTTATCCCAAACATGCTACCAGCGCACGATGAGTAGGTGAAAAATTGTTAAAGAATGTCCCACAGAAGAGGATATCACAGAATAACTGCTGAGATCTCTACATGTGACCTCTGAGTCCACACATTAGGGCAATGAATTTTCACACCTGTCATGTTACAGGGAATAATATTCGGTGTATGGCAGTCAATCCAGTTATTTTATATTCAGAGCTGAAATTTTAGCCCATTGAAACATGCAAAATGATGTGACATTGTTTAGACGCATTCATTGGTGACCCGGTTGAGACCATCAACTCACTAATACATTACTTGCAAACCAAATCCTAGATTTGAATCCAGGGTATCAGCGGTGCTCGCTCACCACTCTGATCTCTGGGCAACCCAGCCACTTCCTACATTTTACATTCTTATATTTTTGATTTACACGCATCTGGCTTTTTGTTGCACATGGAAACCCATTGAGATTCTTGTCAAGATCACCAAAGGCGTGTGTCCATGTGAACAGTGAACATCACAGAAGTGCGATTAGTTCTTCTTCATGGCTTATATAATCTCGGGCCTTTTTAGTATCACCTGAAATGAAACGCAACACAAATACAAATGTTACTATCAGTATCATTCACAATTTAATATTTCACATTAGACTATGTTTGCGTAGATGTAATGTTAAATAGAGCATTCTTGAGCGTGATACTTGGCATTCCAATGACTGTCTAAAGAAAAAAGGATACATTGTTTTGTTTACCAGTTGACATGATTATACATTTTCCCCTTAAAAGGTATATATTGTTTATACTGTGTATATGTGGTCATTCTAGTCTGCATTTATGATGACAGAAAAAGAGCAACTGTGGTCATACTTACTGGTGTGTTGGTGTCAATTTGGTCCAAATCTGTATAGAAACATAAACATATTTTTTAAAAGTTAAAGCTGCACATTATATACAAAAAATTCCTAATTTTATCCCAAAAGCATTCACATGGAGGCTTGATTAATTGTCAAGATGCATGTGTGTGTGTTTTACCTATGACACTCAATGCCATTACACTCACACTGACTTATTGTACAGGTATACATATAAGCAACTTTATAAAGTATTATCGAGACGAGCATAGTCAAGGTGAGCCACTGCATATGAAGACTGTGTCATTGTTAACTTACCAAGTTTGCGTACGTTGTAAACATCCACATTGTTTTCATAAGAGCTATCACGGTCAAAGTTGTACATCGCGTAACTGCAAACATAAAAAAGTGGTTTTCAAAATGAACATGTTCATATACTGCACTGGTATCTCACATACTCCAAAGC